TATATAATCCGACATTATTATACGATCATTCATTCTCGTTTGTCGTTTATTAATATATTTGGAATTTAAAAAAAAAAAAAAAAAAAAAAAAAGAAAAAAAAAAGAAAAAAGAAAAGAGAGAGAAAATAAATAAGAAAACTTGACAACTAATATTACCTACTATAATATATTTCTCTCGTATCGATAAGAAATATCATTAATTATATTTTTAATAAAATAATCGATCTGAACTAATTCGATAGGAATTTCTTTTCGTAAATGATATTATATATAATACATATTGGTATACCAACTATACTGATATAGACATATATACATTGACATCAAAGTAGACGCACATATCTATCGAGTAACAGAGCATTCGATGCTCGTCGATCATTGTTAACGTTCGATGATACTCGAGCATTGTCGATGTGAAGTGATTATTAACGCCTACGTTCTCTACAATCAACATGATCGATATCCGTTCACCCTACATACCCACACACACACACACACACACACACATATATTTATATATATATAAATATATATATATATATATATATATATATATATATATATTTAGGTATCCTAAATGCACATACAAGTGTACTCGACAATATATAGAGTTGCACTGTTGACAGTAATCCATGTAACACAATTATTTCTACAGTCAAGAATGTACGATTGACTTCTACGAGGACATTAAATCTCTAACAATGATGTAACGAATCCACCCTTGCCGAAAACGAGTTTGGCGTACAATCAAACTCTTGTCTAGATTGCCTTAACGATCCATATAACTACCGTCATATGTCACGTTATCTCTTCTATTATCAAAAGAATAATAGACGACGTTAGCTCGTAAAAGTTTTTCATTTCATTCATAGAATAAAATCTACAAATTAATACATCGTTGAAAATTACACAATTTATCTCTAAGATTTGATAATTCGCGATCTAACGATTTTTTTTATTTCTCTTTTTATTCTTTCTTTTTCTTTTTTTTTTTTTTTGTCTTCGTCTCTTCAAAAAAAAAAAAATTTATTATGTGAGACGTATATTCGTTATCGATGAATTATTAATATTTTCGAATGAAAAGTAATTATTCGTTTTATTTTCTAACAAGAGTGAAATAAAAACTTGGAAAATATAGATTTATATGTTAGATTAATGTCGATATTATAAATAAATCAATAATTTTATTATTTGTTATTTCTCTGAAAAGATTTTATTTCATTCGTAGAATAATATTTTAACGTTAATTCTAGTTAATTTAAACAATCTAACTTTTTCTTTTTCTTTTTCTTTTTTTTTTTCTTTCTTTGGAACGTAACTTCATAATAAAACCTATTCCTTGTTAGTGGATATTAATATTTTTTGTGTTTTTTTTTTTTTTTTTTTTTTTTTTTTTTTTAATACAAAGTAATTATTTTATTTTGTTTCGAAAAATTGAACTATAGATTTATATTACATACACGTACAATAGTAAAATTCGATAATTAAAGTCAAGATAATAGAATCATGTTTTTTTTCTATTAATAAAAAAATAGATATGAAATTTTTTTAAATTTAAAATAATTATTTTTTTCATTTCGAAGAAGTCAAATAAAATGTAAATTTACGAGCTATATCAATGTTATATGATAGTAATTCGATGATAAAATAAATCACGAAAATAGAATCATCCTTGTTTCTATTTACTAACAATAAAAAAAGAATATACATACATATATACATATATATATATATATATATATATATATATATATATATGTACAATTTTACAGTACATAAACTTAGTAACATATGCCACGATATATCTTCTTTTTATCAAAATAAAAAAGACGATGACGTATCTCATAAAAATTTTATTGAGAGAAAAGAATCTTTCGGAATATTTTTTACTAGTCTATAACCTACATATTTCTTTTCTTTTTTTTTTTTATCATCTCTTTAAACAAATCTCTTAAATAACGTCAAATCATTTCCAATATGATTCAATATTAAATAATTTTAATTTTTCGAATGATAAAGTAATTAATTTCTTTTTTTTTGTTTCCTTTTTTTTTTTTTTTATTTCGATTAAGTGAAATAAGATTCTGAAAAAATGCAGATTTACAGGCGTCTTAAAAGGACGAAAATATAATTGTCCTTTTTTCTATTTAGTATTAATAAAAAAAAAAAAAAAAAAAAAAAAAAATACAAAATCATATACAAGCTGATAATAAAATATATAAACTTAGGAACGATTATTTCTAATAAAATTTATAGAATTAAGAATTGTTTATACCTTATCGAACAAGTAATAAATCGATGTTTATCACGTTGAGCAGGTATAATAATAATAATAATAATAATAACAAAGACTGATATAAAGCAATAGCTTGACTATAGTTACGGCAACGTTCATGACAATGTTAACCATTATCGACGACGAGTAATAGTCATTTACCGTTATCAAGCTTCGTCCAGGTCCCAACGAAGGGTCTTAGCCCTTCTCAAATATATAGTTCTTTGACATTGATCTTAAATTAGAATTGCTTACACGAATTATTAACAATATGACATTGGATCGTCCTTTAACAAAGGAATTATCCTTATGGTACATACGTGAAGAGTGATGATGAATTAAATCGAATGAAAAATCTTTAAATAATTTTCATCGTAGAATTTTTTCATGAAAAATATTAAATATTTTCATTTTCTTCATAATTAATATTTAACCGTTAACAATTTCGTGATTAATAATTTTTTAATGTTACAAATTTTCTCTTCTCTTCTTTTTTTTTCTTTTTTTTCTTTTTTGAATTATTTTCGAGAAGATTTAATATCAATGAAATGAAATTTGTTCATACACATTTGACATTTTCATATATTTTTCATAATCGTACGAAGGAAATCTCTAATTAATCCTTAAAGATAAGACATATAAAAAGAAATCTCTTTGAAAGGATTTTATAAGTACGAGATGTAGGTGTATTTTTCTTTTTTTTTAATCATATACAAAAAAAAAAAAAAAAGAAATAATACAAGAGAAAAAAAATAATGGGGGAAAAAAATAAGAAGAAGGACATGAACAAATAAGTTCGTTCAAGAAAGAAATAAAGAAAGAAAGAAAGAAAGAAAGGAAAAAAAAAGCTACGGGGATTAAAGTCGTACAGATATTTGGTCAATTTTAAGTACACAAAGTTATCGTTAATCCCATGACATGTACATGAAAGAGAAAGAAACAAAAAGAAAAACAAAGACGTCGGTGAAATATGAACTATAAGATTGAATTAAGGAAAGAATAATAATAATAATAATAATGATGATGATGATGATGATAAAACAAAATAAAATGATTGAAAAAGATATTTAAAAAAAAAAAAAAATAATAATAACGATAATAATAATATCAAATGAAATTGATCAATCTGTCGAGAAGAGCTTAGCAGAAGAAAAAGATAAATAAGTAAAGAAAAAAAAAACAGAAAAAAAAAAAGAAAAAAAAACAAACCTAATTAAAACAAAACCGAAGAACGTTCTCGTGATTATCGAACTTTTCGAACGTTTACCTTCGATAATGATAATAATAATAATAATAATAATAATCATTATTATCAGTAACATATATTATCGACAGTATCGTTTAGTTACATTGTTTATATCCAAAAGCCAAGTAGAGTATCGGTGAGCTTATAACCGTAATCAATTCTCTTTGTGTAACGATCGGGACACAGCGTATGTAAGCATCTAACTGTTCGTAATATCAAAGCTGCTTAGAATACATAATAGGAGGTAAACCAACGTCTAATATGTACGTTTTGGAAGGATGACTAATACACTTCTAGTATTAGGCTAACATAAATTACATACCTACGTATACACGTATGTACGTACATATATATATATATATATATATATATATATATATATACATGCGTACATACATGCATAGATAGATTGGTAGATCTTCACTAAAAGATGATTTAGAATCCAGTGATAAGAACTTTTGTGTAACAAAACACAATTAATCAAAGAGATTCCTAAATCAACTTGGTTTTGGTTTAAACAGATTTTATAAAATCCTATTCTCTCTCTCTCTCTCTCTCTCTCTCTCTTTCTCTCTCTTTCTCTCTCTCTCTCGTGTTTACTTTTTTGTTTATTAAATTTCATTATATCGAACGTATCAGTGAATACTGACCAACGTGTAATGTACTACTTACGCAAGCGCACATACATATTGTTCTCTGCGTAATCGATGTCTGCTTCTGCACAGTAGAGTAGTGGGAGAGAAAAACAAAGAGAGAGAGAGAGAGAGAGAATGAGAGAGAGAGAGTGAGAGAGAGAGAGAGAGAGAGAGAGAGAGAGAGAGAGATTGATATAGAGACAGAAATCCTGCCAAAATCTGGTTTTTATATGGAAACTATAATATGTGATAACACGACTGGGTATCTAAAACATTCTATTAAGGATTTCTACGTTATACGATGAATGATGATATTAAACAAGGGACAAAGAAAATTTCAAAGCAAAAAAACAAATATATGATATTACGAAAATTGTAAAAGTTTATTCGAATAAAAAAAAAAAAAAAAAACAATGAGAGAGAAAGAGAGAGAAAGAGAGAGAAAGAGAGAGAGAGAGAGAGAGAGAGAGAGAGAAAGGATCGTTCGAAATTTCTATCAGTGAAAACGAACCGCAAACTTTTTCATGTCATCGTGAATCCTCTTTAAACACATACATATGTAAGTACATACCCGGAAAAGAGACAAGGTAACGCATACACAAACATAGACACACACACACACACATACACACATGCATACATATACGCACGCACATACGTATAATACATAGAATAGAGTAGAAGAGAGATTAGAATCGATTTCTAATAGTTGATCGATCTGTGATTTAACGTGTGTACTGACAAATGTCCTTTTCTTTTTTTTTTTACTTATTTTTTTTTTCTTTTTTTTTTTTTTTCTTTTTTCTTTTTTCTTTTCTCCTCTCTTCCTTAAACCATGTTTCAGGTATCGTGGATAAAGCGTAAGACTGTTCAGGAATTATTGACGGTCGGTCTGATAACGTACGCTAACGACGAGCGCTTTCAAGCGATTCACTTTCACCACAGCGAGGATTGGACGTTGCAAATAAAATACGTACAGGGAAGAGACGCGGGACTTTATCAGTGCCAAGTGTCAACGCATCCACCTACAAGCATATTTTTGTTTCTCGAGGTTGTCGGTAAGCATTGACAGTTTTTATATAACAGATAAAATATTATAATGGTAGCTTAACTTCTTTTTTTTTTTTTTTTTTTTTTTTTTATTTTTTTCTTCCCGTTCTCTCCAACCCACCCACCCCCACCCCTATCCGCCCACATTTCCCCGTCAGATAACGACGAAATTCGAAGAGAATTATTATTTTCATTGAGAATTTATATTCGAGGAAGAAGAAAAAGAAAGAAAGGAGGAAGGACAGAAAGTAATTTGAATTAATCGTTTTTGTCTCTTCTTCTTTTTTTTTTTTTTTTCTTTCTTTCTTTTTTTTTCTATCTTTCTTTCTTTCTATTTTTTTTATTCATTCCTTTCTTCTCCCGTCGATCAACTCGCGGATGAATTATTAAAACGTAAATGAGATGAGTTAGTGGATGGTGTTGGGTTGTATTTTTTGGTTTCTTTTTTCTTTTATTTCCTTTCCCCCCTCCCCTCCCCCCTCACCGACCCAGCCCTCCCCTAATGAGTCCGCCCACTCGAAAAAAACATCGGAATAATGGTTAAGCAATTTTATCGTTAAGCGTGCACGCGTGCCATTAAATAGCTCGTCGAGGATTTTAATAACGAGTGTTTTCGTGCAATTAACGTTCCGAGTTTGCTACTCATCGTAATTATCAAGTCGATTACATTTAATTCAACCGAGAATCGGTCGAACCTATTTCGAAATCTATTCATTCGTAGCTTCTATTCGTTCTGTTAAAGATACCCTTCTCGCAAAATTAAAATGCAACAATATTGAAACGTTTGTAAGTGGGGGATAAAAAGGAAATGATATTTTGCGGTCATTATAGAGAAAAACGTAAGGGATAGGAAAAGTGAGGTGAAAGAATTAAAGGAAAGAGGGTGGGGGGGGAAAAAAAAAGAATTAAAAAGAGAAGGGGGGAAATGCAAGGAAAAAAAAAAAAAGAGAGAAAAAAAGAAGCAAACAAGAAAAGAAAAATAAAAAGAAAGAGAAAAGAAGTCATTTAATCGAGTCTCTGTCTCAAAGACAAAAGGATTGTTGGATACTCTTGTAAGATCCAATGTCGGGATAAAGTAATTTCGTTAAAAGACCAAGAGAGTTCTCTTTTCCGATTTTACTTTCTCTCTCTCTCTCTCACTCTCTCTCTCTTTCTCTATCTATTTATCTATCTATCTGTCTATCTATTTGTCTTGCTCTCGCGAAAATTATGACAATAAGGACTAAGAATTATTGCGTATAAATTATGCGTATAAATGTCTCGTCTCGTCTCGTCTCGTCTCATTAATAATAGATGATCGATAGGAAAATTGCGTATATGTACGTCAACAAAAAAAAAAAAAAAAAAAAAAGAAAGAAAAAAATAAATAAATAAAGAAAGAAAGAAAGAAATATTGAAATATTGATCTACAAGCATGCAAATAAGTATATGCTTACGTAGAATAGAAGATGAAGAAAAAAAAAAAAAAAAAAAAAAAAAAAATAAAGATAGAAAGAGAGAACATACCCAAGAAATAGCTTATCTTAGTATTCATAAAATGCATGTTTCTAAGAGATGTAAAGATTTTCTGATAAGAAATCAACGTTACTATCTTGTTCACGCATACACACACGCACACACACGCACACACATTCTCATACACATAAACATTCTTATACTTGTTCGCTTAGTCGTTCGTTCTCCTTTTTTTTTTTTCTTTTTTTTTTTTTTTCTTTTTTCTTTTTATATCGAACAACAAGTAGTAGTAGGTATTCTCTAAGCCTTCGGGCGAAACGGCTTTGAGAACGGCTTAAAGAAGTAACGTAGAACTACTTTCTTCCAGTTCCAACCTTTTGAAGAATTTTTTTCTTTTTTTTCTTTTTTCTCTTTTTTTTTTTTTTTTTTTTTTGGCAACCTTTACCTTCGCGGAATGGTTTACGAGCCACGGCGAAATCCAAAACCAAATGTTTGCATTTATTTTTGAACCATGTCGTACAATTTCTCCAATGGAATATCTTCTTCATTTTTTTTCTCTTTCAATCCTTATTTCAGTTCATCGTGATCGTCATCGTCAACGTCATTATATCATATCATTTGTCATCATCCAAAAACTTATCACGTTCAGTATTATTCTGGGTTGCATTTGTTATTCTCAAAAAAAGAAGGCCCTTACGAGCAACGTCATTAAAGTATTATTTATTTATTATTATTATTATTATTATTATTATTATTATTATTATTTATTTATTTTGTTCTTTTTTTCTTTTCTTTTCTTTTTTATTAGTTTAGTTTAATTTATTGAAAATAAAACTGCAGACATTACCGCGTAACGTAAATTTTTATTTCAGTAATATAGAAATATATAAAAGGCAAGTAGTATCGTAAGGTTTTAAAATAATGATTCCATATTCTTTTTCATTTATTTATTTATTTATTTATTTATGTATTTATGTATTTATTTATTTATGTATTTATTTATTTATTTATTTATTTAAATACTTTAATTTATTGAAAATAAAAGTGCGAACATTTTCTTGTAATAATATACTTCTCATTTCAATAAAATAGAAATATATAAAAGGCAAGTAATGTAAGGTTTTGAAATAACATTTACATACGCTTCATTTATTTATTTATTTATTTGTGTATTTTTTATTAGTTCTTTGACAATAAAAGTGCAAACGTTTCCCCGTAAAATAATTCTCATTTTAATAAAATAGAAATATATATATATATATATATATATATATATATATATATATATGTGCGTAAGAAAAGCAGTATAAGGTTTTGAAATAATGGTTCTCATATAAAAACGAGGTCCCAGCTTGCACGCTTAATATGCCTTATGATAGATACAGCCCTGCATGAGTTTTGTTTCTTTTCTTCCTCCGTTTATTTTTTTTTTTCTTCTTCTTTTCTATTCTTTTTTTTCTTTCTTTTTTTTTCTCTCTCTCTTAACCGAGACTCATACGTTTTTATCCTCGAATTTCAATGAAAGAAGGGAAAGAAAAAAAAAAGGAGAAAAAAAAAAATAAATAAATAAAAAATAAGAGGATGGTAAAGATCTTGGCAAAAGACGTTCGAAGAAAAAAATTTACGTAGGTATAGCCTCGAATTACAGGGCGTGAATCTTCTTCTTTCTCTTCCTTTTTTCTTTTCTTTTTTCTTTTTTTTTTTTACACTTTTTATTTTTTCCTTCCTTTTCTCTTTTTTTCTTTTTTTTCCTTTTTGTTTTTTTTCCTCCGCCTATCCCTCTATTTTCTTCCTTCCACTTTCTCGGTTAGTGTACACACCTCCCCCTCCCCCCCCAAACCTTTTACACGAATTTATTCTCGCTTAGATATTTGCATTTAGATTTCACATCGACCTCGCGGCCAACGCGATCTATTTTACTATTACTTTTTCTACTACTTTATTCTACTTACCTATCCTTCTTTATTTCTCTTCTTCGTTTCTTTTTTCTCTCTTCCCTTCTTTTTGTTTTTCTCTTTCTTCTTTTTTCTTTTCCTCCCTTTCCTCCTTCCTTCTTCTTTTCTTTCGTTTTGTTTCTTTCCTATTTCTCATTCGCCATACTTCATCCTATGTATCACCCGAAGGATCACCCAGATTGCCAGAAATCCACTTCGTACGGTTTGCGATCTATAAGGTCGCGAACTTTTTACGATCCTTCAAAGATTTCTGTCTCTCTCTGTCTCTCTCTCTCTCTCTCTCTCTCTCTCTCTCTCTCTCTCTTTCTCTCTTTCTTTTTTCGCTTAGGCAAACTTTTGCGCGCGAGATACGTCGACCCGCGTAAAGCTCCAAGATTAAATTGGATAAACGTGAAAGGTCGTGTCGGAATGAATGTACCAATGAAACAAAAGGAATTTCGTATTGCAATCTCCCAATAGTATATACATACATATATACATATATTTATGCATGTATATATATATATATATATATATATATATATTTGCATAAATGTAAGTATGTATTTGTGTATCTATCTCAATTGCCCGAGATGATTTCAAGATGTAAAGATTTTTTTTTCTATTTTTTTTCTCTTTTGGACTTCTTTTTACCCAGGAAAATTTTTCCAAAATATTAATGAGATTTCGAATCGTCGAAATGAGCGATAACTTAACGAAATATAATAAAAATTTAAATGAAGGAAAGAATGCGAGAAGCTTACGTGACTTCACCGACGACATACCGAAACGTACGATATCTCGATGTTATCATTTTTTCTCTTTTTTCCGGTTTTTTTTTTTTTTTTTTCTTTTTTTTTTTAACAAAAATATGATTATCCTTCATTGTTTTTCAACGATAAGTAGTTATATAGATAAGTAGTTATATACACTCGACGAAGTTTATTTTTTGTGTAATCGAGAACGATGCAATAACGTTCGATTGGATTATTGTATGTTTTATAACTTTTTATATCAAAACAAATATATATGCGAAGCATAAAAATAAAAAAATATATGTATGTATTATAAAGAGATCACGTATCTCTCTCTCTCTCTCTCTCTCTCTCTCTCTTTCTCTCTCTCTATTTTCGTAAAACAAATAAAATGTTTCGAAAAAGTGATTGATCGTGATTGTACGTTCGAATAAACAAAAAATCAAATCTAAGAGTAAAAAGAAAAAAAACCAAGGAGAAAATAGAAGAAGAAGAAGAAGAAGAAGAAGAAGAAGAAGGAGGAGAAAAAAAAATAAGAATTACTTTTCTCGAAAGATATACACACACACACACACACATACATATATATACATATATAAAGAGAGAGATAGAGAGAGAGAGAGAGAGAGAGAGAGAGACAGAGAAAGAGATAGTGCCATTGAAAGTGGCTTACTGACGATATTTGGCAACGACGAGAACTCATGGCCCTTTTCCAAGGTAGGATAGTGTATTCGATGCGTTTAAGCTCGATCCAAATCTTTCGATAGTATTGGTCGATTCGCATTTGGCCGTGACAGCAATGGGAAGGAGTTCTCTCTCTCTCTCTCTCTCTCTCTCTCTCTCTGTGTGTCTAAAGGTAAAAGC